ACTGAATCAGCGCTAATTTGAGTGTGCTTGCAGTGCCCAGTCTAAAATTGTTGTTCCATTATTAGCATTTTGAAACATTAAAGCCAAAAATTCACATGTCTTGTACTGACATAGCTTAACAAAGTTACCTTCGCTTTATAAAGTAACTAAATGATCTTCTGACATAAATCCCACTATGCATGGCTTAGAAATTAGATGCAGTAATAACCTTTTTGTCTAGTCTGAATAAAATGTTTTCTAGTATGAGAAAATCTGATCAAATTTAGATACGCTGAAAATAATTTGTTGTCAGCTAACTTGTTAATAAAATACTTACTAAACTAAAGTTCATTACTCCAGGTTTAAATTAACTATACAGGCTTCACAAAGGTTTGCTTTATGTCATGACAATGCTTTGGTCAATGACTGACCACCTATACGACAGTCGTCCCATAAGATTATAATGGAGCTGAAAATTTCCTATCACCTAGTGATGTCATAGCCATTGTAACGTCAAAGCAATTACTCACGTGTTTGTGTTGATGCTAGTGTAAACAAACCTACTGCCATGCCAGTCATATAAAAGTATAGAACATACAATTATATACAGTATATAATACTTGATAATGATAATAAACAACTATGTCACAGGTTTATCTATTCACTGTACTATACTTTGCATTGTTACTTAGGCTATACCACATAGTCTAGGTTGTAGTAGGCTATACCATCTAGGTTTGTACCACAATGATGCAATCGCCTAACGACGCATTTCTCAGAACGTATACATGTCGTTAAGCAATGCATGACTGCATTAATTCCGGTAAATGAAACTACACTGTACATACATTTTTTTTTTTACTTTATATAGGTTGTGTATTCATCATGTCATTCCTGCTTTTACTAAATGTTAGTGATATTTTGAGTTTTTAAGTGGTATGAGTTGATAGGTTATTTTTTTTGTGTCAGAGAACACCAAAACATCGTCCCATAGAAATTAATAGTAATTGCTTCTTTGCTTTAAGCCATTTCAACTTAGAAAAAGGTTAATGGAAACACTCTAATTTTGGATAGCGGGGAAAACCGGCATCTACACATATAATCCATGGAAGTGAATAAGTTGAATGTGCATAATTAGTATGAACTAAAATTTGAAAGGCCCAGAATGGTACCATGGGGTACACCATAGTTAATTACATCACAGTGTCTTCCCGGTGCCTACCTGCTCCATTATGGCACTACACTTTTAAACTCATTTCACCATTACCTAGCCTTGGAGGAAGGAAATCATTTTTAGACTATGGAGCAGAGTTACATGGATTATTCTACAAAAACCTAAATTGGTCAAATCTGTGCCACAGTATTTGCTTTTGTTCCTGTTTGATGAAATTGCTTGAATTCAGCTGACACATCTCAGTGGAAAAAACTTGAATGAACTGGAAGGCAATTCATGTTATCAGTAAGCACTTCTATAATCAGGTTGTGGTAATCTGGAGAATCTCTCAGGAAGCAACGCCAGACACACCCTGGATGGGATGCCAGCCCTTTCCAAAGCAGACAGACAGACAGACAAACAGACAGACAGACCCATGCCCATGCAAGCTGGGAAGTGCCATTCAAAATCACTATGAATCTGAAGGTTAATTTGAAGGTTAATTTCGTTCCTTGACTAATGTCTCCAGCATGGAAACCCATTGTTACAGGGCAAAAGAACATAACTACTTTTCATACAACTGAATATGGATGAGGCAGCAAACTTTATTGTGTCAGTACAGATATAGGACGAGCCTTTAGGTAGGGCTAATCATAACCATAACCCTATAGGTAGGGCTACTCATAACCATAACCCTATAGGTAGGGCTACTCATAACCATAACCCTATAGGTAGGGCTACTCATAACCATAACCTTATAGGTAGGGCTACTCATAACCATAACCTTATAGGTAGGGCTAGTCCTAGACTTCTGGTATGGCTAGGCTTTAACATTTAGTAGGGCTAACTCTCCTAAAACTGGGCACTGTATGTCACTGTAATATTCCTGAATGTTAAGTACTTCTAACACCTTATTATGAAAGAACACATGAAATTCCAAATATACTTTCTTACTTCGTGATGTGACATAAAATGCATGGTTCCACTTGAATTTGAACCTTTGCTCTTTAATAATGGGAATACATATTGTTAACCTAAGTCACTAAACATAGGTGATTCCAGACCCTATTTTAGTCTCAGCCCCCCTGAAAAATTATTGTTCCAAATGCATTTCGTGATCTTGTCCTGTATTTCTTAGGGGCTGAGCCCCCCTAAGGGCCAAACCCTACAAACAGCCTTGCCACAAAGGCTTAAAAATGTGGTATTGAGGTGTAAAAAACGTAACCAAGGTTATAGCTATCACTGCACCCAGAGAAATGCTGTTCTGGGGGCTGCCCTCACAAATATGTTTCATGCAAACTTTCCAGTAATGGAGACAAAGCAAGAGCGTGCCTGGTACTGGGGGGAAAGTGGTGCTTCTTCTGTAATTATTGCCCTTTTCATAAATTACCTAGATGGAAATTAGGGGACAGGTGTCCAATTAAAGTAGCCCATCGATTCAAAGAGAACAAATTTCTCCTCAAGTGTCATTTGAGAAAAATCACTTCAGAGTCCCTCTTGGAGAAAAATAGTCTCTGTAAGTGTGTGCTTTAAAGGCAAACCCTATACTGCTACCCATTGATGGGAAGGAGCTTAGACGAATCAGCGCTTGGCAGCAGACAGTCTCCTCTCCTCCCCGCTTAACAGGCTCATGTCTCCCATCACTATTCATAAAGAACTCATGATTCCAGGCATGAAAAACTTTGATCGGCTAGAGCTGTACTACAAGAGGCTCTGCAATGATGATACCAGCATGAGCTTGTACCACTTAAGTCTGTCAATTGAACAATCTACACCCACCCATTCATATAAAATACTAGAAAAAATTAAGAGACAGAAAATTTTTCAGGTTCACTCATTTCTCAATTTATTGGTATGTTCCAGTGTAAAATATACTTCTTTTTTTTTGTTGCAAACTGCAGCCTGGTTCTTCTCTGAATTCTCATTAATAAAGAACTTCTTCCTTGCTTAATGGGACTTCAGTCCTGCTTCTAAGAACCTGATATGAACTGTCCTAGCAGTGCACTTCACACCTGCACTTAACACTTCCCATTCCTTTTGAGGGTCACTTGAGATCATTCTCCAATTTATGAGGCGCTGCTGGATAAGTTGACAATCATCTCTGGTATTGGAAAGTTGCTTCTGCCCTCTACCTGGCTGGTTTCTGGTCGTTTCCAGTGTCTCCTGCTTCACCTTGTTCTTATGTACTGCTGTCTTAGACACTGCGAGCCTGGAAGCAGCCTGCCTCGCAGTGAAGGCTTCTGCCAGCAGAACCCGGATTTAAAAATGTAGATTTGTTGGAAAATATAGAGTGGTCTTTTCATTTTTTCCTGAGCTGTGTGTCTACACACACACACACACACACACACACACACACACACACACACATCTAAATTCATTTCTATGGGAAAAACCCTAATCCCAATCACCCTTAACCTCTACCCATCCCTAACCTTAACCATAAGTAACCAACCCAAATACAAGACTTTTGGCATTTTTACTTTTTTGATTGCATTCACAGATTTTTTATCAAAAGATGTCCCCAAAATTAGGGAAATTTCAGGTTTTACTACACTTTGGGGACAATTTGGTCCTCAAATGTGATCCATGCACACACACACACACAAAACCAGGCCCACAACCCAAAATGTGTGAGGCCACAATGTTGAAGCAACCCGAATGGAAACCGAAATTAATAATATCCAAATACATGAAAACAGAATGATAAAAGAAACTATGTATCAATGATTAAATGTATCGATTATTTTAAAACAGTAAAACATTATGCAACGGAGTCCTAAATAATTTCAAAATCGTATGTAAGAAAATATATATAGCCTATATGTTTGTATGAATATATATGTCTTGAGTATGAAAATCAAATACCCATCACCCAGACAGGGTACGGTACCGACAGGTACGACAGAACCTTGGCCAACCGTATCCATCTCCCAGGGCAGCGAATCGATGCCGTCCAACACGAACTTTAAACCACATCCTCAATTAGAAATCCCCGTCTTTTCACATCGCGTTATTCCCAGATAACTGGACCGACAGCTGCACTAATCAAACAGGGCTGTAACTCAGAGAGTCCAGCATTTATGGCAGGCGCTTATCTAATTGCCACGAAAATCAATGTAGATCGCAGGGAAAGTAAAGAAAAATCCCATTCGCTGTAAAGATCGCTCATATTAAACAGTATAAAACACGATAAGAAGAGAGATTAACATTTTTATGAGAGCTTCATTCATAGTTCAATTGAGTGTTTTCCATTTCTATGTAAATATAATCTAAATGAGCAAGAATTATCGGTTAATTTGTGCTGATTAGCTGTACTTTTCCGGGTCCGGACATCCAGCCACCAGAGGGCGCTAAGGAGCCTCTGTCCATGACAGACTGCGGCCGATAGACCACCCACTTTCCAAAACGGCCGGTTTTCCCAGCACGTTTTGGATGCTTTTCTACACCAGGTTGTGCTGTATTATACGTTTTTATTGATCATGGCGCAGAAGGAGGAATCTTTGTCATCACCCTCCCCACAAAGTCACCATTTTGAAAATTCTGAATGATTCCCCTGTGGTACCTCACCAATTAATAATTGAATAAGGTAGTTATATAGCTGTATAAATCTGTAGGTGTGGAGTGACCAGATAAAATGGCTCACGGCAACTCACCGCTTTACACACACACCCACCCTCTTTTACCTCGGCATTTCATCGTTCTCACCCTTACTATTGGTGTGGAGGTTTTTCCTCCCAATGTGATATTATCTCAGGATTTCCCCCGAAGACTTTTTCAGAACAGAACCTCTAGAATCCCCATGCAGGTTTTTGGTCTCACTGGAGGTTAGGTGACACAGGTGAGAACCTTTCAGAGGGTGAAGGTGAGTGTTTGTGGGATAGACAGAGGCACACACTTAGGGGGAGTGCGGTGGGTGTGCGTGTGTGTGATGTATTCAGATCGTTAATGTGTGTAGGTGTGTGTGTGCATCAGTGGGCAGTGGGGGGGTTGGGCAGTGACAGCACCTCCCTGTACCCTAGTGCGTCGGATTGCGACCGTCTCTCCCCTGTCTGCGTCAGAGCTAGGCAAACACAGCGGCGGACGAGCCGGCCGGCTCCGCCTATTTAAGGGCCGGCTTCCCCTCAGTCTTCCAGGAGTTCGCCTGGCTCTCTGCACAGCACCTCAGACTCACAGCCTGAAGGTAAGAGCCTGTCTTACTGGGTCTCCCTGACTTTGTGTATGAGCTCCTGAGCCCCCTCTTTGCCAGAACTGTCCACAAGAGAAAGGTATTTAATCAGTGCTGGAGCTGCTAATTGCGGTTTGGGTCTTAACATTTTTCCGTTTGTAGAGCGTGTAAGAAAGATACACACAGGGATGAGGGATTTTTTTTCTTTTCAGTATCGCTGAAAGTGTTCATGGAGTACAACAGAGATGAACGTTCCTTTGCAGCTCTTAACAGAAGAGAGAGAGAATGGAGATGGCATGAAAGTCACTGGTTAATTCCTGAGTGACACTCTATGGCTTGAAATGCTTTTTTAATTCAGATATTCTACGGTGACTGTGACTTAACTGAACGCTTTGCTCACTCTGCCCAGTCTCCATAACAAAGACCAAAAAGTCAGCACCATCATTCCCAGCCAGGCAGGATGCTTCTGGTACAGGGCGGGCAAATCCAAGCCAGGTAGCATGACAGATTCCAGTGATTCTTAAGGGATCACATGCTGACAGATGCTGACAGATACAGCTGCCGGAACAGATTAGCAGTTATACGCCGAAGCATTCGGAAACTGGAACACACTGGAACATACTCATCTTAGATCTGACTTACTGCATGGTTACCATTTCAGAAATACTTTGTCTCGCTGCTTTGACTTGTGGATGCTGTATTTATAAATCAGTCTAATCTTGGGATATTGATTGACCACTGAATGATGTCGCTGGTGTCCAGCAGTTATCACTGTTCCACTTACCATTGATAATTTCAGTTTAAGTTCCGGTGAGTTTAGCTACAGTAGCGCACCATGACAGACCCTCCTCTTTCTCTCTCTCTCTCTCTCTCCCCCCATCCCTCACCAGAAACGATGAACAGTGGATTTTGCATGTGCGTGTTGCTGGCTGCCCTGTCCAGCAGCTGCTTGGGACGGCCACACTACACTCCCTCCCTGGACGAGAACAGGCCCGCCACGGCCCAGCGGGACACCGGGCTGCCAGATCACCCCCGCCAGGCGCGCTCTGTGTCCCTCACCGGCCAGAAGCAGCTCGTCCAACAGGAGCTGGCCGTGGAACCTGGGACCAGCCTGAACGAGCTCCTGAGCAGATTGATCTCCAGGAAAGGTGAGACGCCCGTCCAGATTTAATCTGTGCAAACCCTAATGCCCCCCAACTGCTATCAGAACTGCCAGGGGCATGGACCTGAACCAGGAAGGCATTGGGTTTAAGTCCCAGTGTGATCATCTTGAGTAAGAGAACACTGCGATCGGGGTGAAACTGCGCTGTAAATCATGCAGCAACACACAGACCTGTGATGGATTTACCCATGGTCTTGCACTTGTTAAGATTTTTTCATTTACAGTAATTCATTCATGTGCAGATTTTTAGCAATGGTAGGAAACAGTTTCAAGAATCTGTGATGTGCTCTCAAATGGCAAGAGTAATAGGAAGTGGAAATGGGCTCACCCCACCCGTTAACTGATTGGAAAGTGTGGGAGGGGCCTGCAGCATGTAAGCACAGCTGCGCAGCTTGACTTCACTCATTGCTTGGGGTGGGGGGGCAAGGCTGAAAGACAGACTGAGGGGGGAACATGTGTATTATTTACTTGGAGCATCATTGCCTGGTGTTTTGGGGCAGATGGTGCTCCTGCATCCCTAAACGCCAGGCTGACGATCAGACCATGTGATGTGAGGGGCCGCGTTCCAGAGTGATAGCAGACAGGCTCCTGCTTCTGAGGAACTGTCAAGATGACGTTTAAAAACCATCGCTTTACCGTTTTAGGAGTTTAGGAAATTAAACGCTATGCCGGAGCTAATCGATTCCACAGCAGTGTCACCGCGGTACTCCGCGTTTCAGGCAACTCTCCAGCGGTCTGTCATTGTAATCCAGCCCTTTCGAATGAAGATAAGACAAACAGGAAACCTGTTACTTAATTAGCTCCCATGGAGCTTAAACAGCCAGTGATTGACAGTTCTGACAGTCCCACTCACTATGGACTAAGACATTTTCAAGTCGCCTGGAATTATTAGTCACGTTTTTATAACATGTTGCCTAACTACTGATTGCCATCCAATGCTGTTTCATTATGGACTGTCCCGGTGCAGAAGAGGCGTTTTTAAACTGCCGTCTACTTCTCATCCAAAAGAAACTCATTGGAACAGACATCCATTTACTCAATGTTGACACAGCTGACGGAAACAGGGGGCTTTTAATAGTGAAACATGGTACAAAGGCACAAAGACGATGTCATTTCATAAGGCAAAAAAAAAAATCCCGATAAACAAAACACCAGTCCGGCCATGTCTCCCGGCAATCATGTTAGGTATATTTTCCCACCGTTTCCCCATGAAGTTCACGGAAGGATGTTATTGTAAAACACAGGCAAATGAACGGCCCACTGTATGCATTTTTAATTAAGCTGAAATATTGGAATAAGAATAAGAAGGGAAAGAGGGATATATAAGCCACGTCTGTACAAGAAAGCACACGCTCACGGCGGCATCGACTCCGCTCCTTACAGAAGCTGGCTGGACGGGGATGAATCTCCTTCATTTAGTCAGGCTTACATTCAGCTCCCGCGACTTTCTAATTTTTCTACACAGCGATACTGTTTGTAACCGTTTTAAATCTGCTTATAAGTAGCCTATTTCTCTTTAGGTCAGAAAACAAGATATTTAACCTTAGGGTGAGTATTGTTAAAATGGGACACGTGACAAAATGGGACAGAGAAACATTGTAGTTAATATATGTGTTTTGTAATACATAATTTTGTTTTTCATGTAGTGTTCAAGGGGCATTCGTGTGTTTTGAACAGTATCTAGTTGGGATCAAGGCACTGAGATCATTATGCAAATTTTTCCAGAAAAAAATTCAGAAAGTGTCCCATTTTAACAATAATCACGCGACAGGACAAGCCGAGATATGATATTGCTGAGGAATGAAGCATGTAATTGTAACAAAATCAAATTTCATTTGCGGTAACCAGTTTTACCAGTCCAACGTCGGAATTATAAAACTTTAACAGCCCGTCATTCACGCACGTGTAAGTGCTCTGCTCCGTTAATCGTGAAAACAGTGGGCTGATTGCTGTACCTGTTTTAACTGCAATCTGCCCTCAGCCAAAGAATGGCGAGTGAATGAAAGCAAAGGTCGTTTCCATAATGATGCTCCTGCGCAAGAATCTACTGGGATCAGAACAGGAAACGCAGGCGGCAATAACGCGGTTCTGTGTCGCGAAGTCCTGCAGTGCCTCTTCACACCCTGCAGGCATCAGCAGGATCATTTGGAAAAAAAAGAACATTTGATACAAGAGATACAAGATACTTTATTTGTCACATACATGGTTATACAAGAATAACATGTAGTGAAATGTACCCTGAACCCGTTAGACTGCATGTGCTAATCAAATCAAAAATAGAATTAAGAATAAGTCAAAAGTTAAAAAATAATGATGCACATCATTAGAAGGTCGCTGCGTACATGCAGATGACTGTTTCCCCCCTATACAGCATGAATAACACAAATATTGTATTACAAATGGTTAGAAACTGGAATGTCCCCTAATTAGAAAGTAACATTTTTAAAACGCCACACACTAAACTGCCGGTAACGTCTGGACTGACCAGGATTAATCACCCGCATAAAATCCCAAGCGCCTTGCAGCAGTTGCCCGTTGTAGAAAATATTCGATAACTTCCCAGTGCCAGAAAACTACGTTTTTCGATGACACTAAAAGAGAGTAATTTCTGTAAAACTTTTTCAAAAGTGCTGCAAGCATGGGGCTAATAACGTTGTGCTTTTGGTAGAGGTCGATAATAAAACCAAAAGTTTCGAAAACTGGCGTTCATATAGGATTCGGTGGTCAGAAACGCAGTGTAGCCCAGCAACCTAGAGGGTTATCTCACAAAAAATGAGAACAGCATAAGACTGAAGAGGCTGTGAAGTGAGATCGACCGGTTATTAAGGCGGAGACTCCAACCTGAATTTAACGGCATATACAACAGCTCGCTTTGAAACAACGGTGGAAGCAAGAATCACTAACAAGATTTACTTTCTCCTTCACTGCAGGTACCATCCGACGGAACTCGACGATGAACAGTCGCGCCACGGGCAACCACAGGATAAAAGATTATCAGGGCTGGATGGACTTTGGTCGGCGCAGTGCCGAAGAATACGAGTACACCTCCTGAAGCAGGGAACGGGGGAAGACATTTAAATCACCGGCTTAAAATCTGTGTCGAAAACACCTATATTTATTATGTATTTGTTGTACACTGTTTGTAAAACTATATGATGCAATATATACATAAGCCAAATTTTGCAGAACTTGGACTGGAAAAAAAACTTTTTTTCTTGATATGTAATTTTTGACTATAATATATATGATCTAATCCAATGCATATAGAAACACTTTCACAGAAAATACTACATTCACTTCGCAACAAAAGCATAAACGTTTTTATGTGATGCTTTAGCCTAACACAAGCATCAAGATGATAGAACAGGCTATAACAGTATACAACACATCTATGCAGTACATGCAAATTACCAAATGACTGGGGAAAACAATGGACATTTAACTGCGTCAGGTATTTTTTAATTTGCGTATATAATTAATTTTACATTTACGATGTCTAGGCCCAAGGCCCTGAACCACCCACCACAGCGTAGCACTTCCTATTAATACCTTAAATCCGATTTTCTGAAATGGTAGGCAATTTGAAATGCAACGTTTCAAGGGAGCTCAACAAATATCACGAAACACAGTTCTCAATAAAATAAGCTTCTCATTAAAACATGTTGATATGGAACTAAAAATAAATTAATGTAACATGTCTGTGAAACAATTATCGAACTAAATATACCGTTATAATCGACAAAACATATCGCTAATAATACTCTAATAAAACATATCGGTCATACAATCAAGCTAAATGTAAAAGATTTCAAAAAAATAATTAACAAAGCATACATTTAAAAAAATACTGGTAAACATGTTATTGACGTAATCACTTTCTGGAAAGGTATGAATGATCTTAAAACTTATGGGGTAACTTGAAACTCAGGATTGCATAATCACGATTGCGTCTTCAGCCAAACACCTGATCCACACGTGACAGAAGGAAGGACTTCATATGAGTAGGAGACTTAGCCTTACGTTTCACAACTCCCCCACCTGCCAAATCTCGGCCTATCCATCCCGAAACAGTCAATTCACAAGTGTATCTGAAACACAATTTGCCATTGGCAAATATAACGACGGTTTAATATGATATAAAGATATTTAAAGAAAAAGTTGGAAAATAGTGGAGAGGAAATAAAACTCCTCATGACAGACTACAGGAAGAAAAACTCTCTTTTGGCGAGTAGAAACCATTTGAAAATCAGAAATGTGTGAAAATGTTGACATAGGCCTATCAAATAATAACAGAGTAATAATAATATGGGAGACATTTGATCAAGTTCAGCCAGGGATGGTCAACATCTCAGATGTTTTCTGAAGATAAACCTTCAGCTTGGCAAATGAACATTAAACAGGCCAGATGAGTGCAAGTGTGGGAAAAGACCAGAAAGATAAAAATCATTCTTAGTTATAGCAAAATTCATGATGTAGTCTTGAGATAAATCACTGCTCCTTAGCTTCAGCGACAGCGAATGATATAAAGGACCCCCCCCCCCCCCCCCCCAAATGGGGCTTCTAGGGCGGCAGGATGCACATAACCACAGCAGTATGAAAACCGAGGCAGGGATGCGATGGAGAACTTCCGAAAAATCAGAGCAGTGATTTTAAAATGGTCCTTTGGGTCCTCGACATAATACCTCACTGTGCAGCACAGCCAATCAGTGTTCCAAGCCCAATTTGCGTAGCCCTCTCATAAAAAAAAGGAGTAATGTTTTGTTTTTGTTCTTTGCAAATTTGTATAACTGTTTGATTACATGTCCAGCAGGTGCAAGATTTAGGTAGGTTTCATATGCGTGTAACCACCAGGATGGACCTACACGATCTCGCAATATTCTCTGTTAAGCAATATTCACGATGTCATGCCTAATTTGGCCTAACTGGCAGAAATAAAGAATATTCCTGTGTCCAGTCTGAGCTTTGCTGGCAATAAAGAAATATTAGAGTGATGTAATTCAATGTATTCACATAATGGAACGTGCAAATTGATTTTTGCGTGATGTGCGCATCATTTCGTAATGATATTACTGTAATATCCTTCAGTCTTGTGGCAAATGAAAGTGGCACGGACCTGCATTCTTAATGAATCCACACAAAGGAGAATTCACAGGGAACTCAGCTCTAAATGAGGACAGACTTGGTAAATAACATGCAACATAGAGTGAAAATAAGTAATGGTTGGGTCCTGATCTTCACTTGGCAATAATAAAAAAAATCAACACTTCTTACACCAGAACTGACACATTTCAACTGGTTTAAAAAAATGCCCCCCAACTGTTCCCATGCACGATAAGCAGTTAGAAGATAAATGTATGGGAAAAGTGTCACTCTACACGCCAAGATGCTTAAAGATTGAAGCTCACCACAAAACTGAAGTACACTTACAAGCATGTGCGACAAAGTTCAAAACTAAATATAACTAAACTTTAAACAAAGAATAACTTAAACATGTATCAAAATACATCCTCACCTTGGTCAGAGACATATATTTTTTAACTAAAAAGCTAAATGTTATTTCTGCTGACATTTCTGCTGACATACTCTAGCAGTCTAGCTATGCACAGGTCATAGCTAGAAATTCGCTCCCCCCCCCGACAAAATGTTACCTTGGGCCCCCCGCCTAATTTAATGTAAGGTTTTCTGTATTTAGGGGCCCTTGGCAAATTCCGGGCCCCCTGAATCTGTCAGAGTACCTGTGCCCCTTGGGATATGGTGTCTGTATGTAAGGTCACTGATTTAAGGCAGAGAAATGTACATCGCTTTGAAGAAATATGTCTGCAAATAAAATGCAAATAAGTGGTTCTTCAAATGATTGCTTATTAAAAGGGCTTGGGTCCATTTAGGTGGTGCTGTGTGGCTTCATGGATTAGGATGCCTGTCATCAGAAGGTCGTCGGCTCAAATTCCCACGGTTGGCAGTGCTGGGTGTTTTGAGTAAGGCCCTCGAGCCCCAGTTACTCCAGGTATTGTCTTCCCTGCTCTCTGAAAAATGTATGTCTGCAACAATTAGTAACTACAGTTTAGGATTTATTTAATAGATTAATTAAATTGCATCATCATAAGCATGGGAGGATTGCGACAGGAGGTGGATTGAGACGATTGTGCAATAAACTGCAACCCTCCTATAGAGAGTTGAGGCACAGATCTTTAAGGTTCTCTTCAGGACAGAGACGCAGAGAAACTGAAGTTGAGATGCTCCAGGCTTGATGAGATTACATCGTCAGCCCCAGCCTGATTTAATGCACAGAGATTAAATAAACCCCACTGCTCCCTGTGTCAGTTCCCAGGTACAGCGTCTGACATTGAATGTTATGGAAGATCAGAACAGATGGATATATTGAGTTACATTCTTAGTAGAGACTGGTGCAATACCTGTTAAGTATTAAGGATGAAGTTACGATCACCAGTGGAGTTTTTTGAGGATGGTGTGATGCTTACTTTAAGAATCTCTGATATTATTCCTGGAGGCACAAATATCTGTCTGTAATTCCCCAAATCACCCTTTCTGGAAGTTCTGAACCCCCTATTCATCATTGTCAATTACCGGAAAAAAATAAATGGGTTAAAAACCATTCAAAGTGTTTAATCCAATCAGTCATATTTGTCTGCTTGACAAGAGAAAAGAGCAACACGCTGGGTATACTGATGAAAATGCCACACGTCAAATTCAACTAAATATTCAGTTCATCTGACAGATGGAGAAACACGTCCGTCATTTTTTTTTTAAAGCGAAATTTGGTCCTTGTCTGCCTTTATCGGCACACAAAACATGCATCACAATTTATTGTCTTCAGTGATATGACACAAACGATATATAATAAATACTACTATGAATAAAATTAATATTATTCATATTTTACCTTTCTGCTTTATATTAGTTTCCTCTTGTTTTGGCGCTGTGCCATTTTCATCCGAACAGATAAAGAGGTAATCTATGTTCTCCCAAATTCCTGACAGGAACACAAGGCACTTTTATATTATTGCTTTTTTTATTGTCATTTCACTCATTGTTCAGAAAACTTTTTTTTTCCACAATACAGCCCCGAGAATCCGATTACACCATAGACTGGACATGACATGAAGATCCTTCCATAACTAAGTTAAATGATGCGCTTATTTAACAAGTCAAACTTTTAGAGCAGAATAACTAAAACTGTTAAAAATCAGTAAAAGCGACTGTAACTCGCTTTTTTCTTGACGGCCTGGGCAGTTTGCGCCTTGGGGGGACGCCCATTGTACTCTGCAGACGCGCCGCCAGGCACAGAACAGAAGCGCCGGCCGTTTGATCGCTAATTTCAAAGACCGTTTCCACATTGCACAACGAGCTGCAATATTCCCAAGTATAGATGCTTCAGGGGCCACAATGGTCCGTATTACAACATTTCGAGTTTTACGATGGGTAAATGTTTGTCACTTTCAGTACAATATTCAATAAATTGCATGAGATATTCGACATTTTATTATGAAGTAGAATTTCTGTTAATGATTGTGCCCAACTGCAGGCTAATGTAGGCCTAAGTGTTCTAGCATGTTCAAAGTAAACTAGGTTATGATGTTTCATAGGTTAGGTGTACTGTATTAAAATGCATTTTCACGTTACGATAACCCCGTCGTAACCCGGGGAGCGTCTGTACCGTCATTTGCCCTCATGCTTTAGCGTTCGCCCATATCCGCCTTAGTAGAGCCAAAGCGACCCGACGACAAACAGATCGCGTCATTCGCGGGTGTCAGGGAGACCCCCGGAACTTCCAGGAGAGATGTGATGTCAGGATTGTATTTTGAGGAACGTTAATAAATACAAGTGGAAACACGTACAAATAATCCGGGGAAAAAACGTTTTACGGGCAACCCTACAAACCACTCCACATCTATTTCTGATATGTCATATTTTATTTATAACTTAGTTATTTTTTGCAATGTTTACCCATTTCCATTACACGAGAAGGCAAAACTGAGGGAACATTATGGTTACATCAGTTACGTCCACTTCAAGACGCGTTCTTCTTTATCCCTTAACAGCACCATATTCGTTTATTAAAACGGCTGCATAAACGTTTCACGTTACTTGTTGAATATATATTTCAGTGTATTTATACAAAGGCAAGGCGTAGCATAATGGGCTCAAACCCAGTATGGCGATTGTAAAGCCAAGCGTGTCTTCAACGATCCACCTGGAAATTTCAAGTTTTTTTTATTGTTTTTATTATTATTTCGGTTTTCTGATTATGAACGGGGTTAAAACAAGACTGCCATTCTTATATGGTCACTATAAGTAACTGTATGAACTTCTCCAAACTATACATATCTGTAACGATCTAAACTTCACTGCTGATGGCACATGGACATACAGAAGGAGTCTGGGTAGAAATGGGAGGGATTTCCACTGGTTCTCAGGCTCTGAGTAACATCTACACAAGTTACCCTTCCCACCCCAGGGGCTGTAATGGTGAGCTCTGGGAACCAGAGCAAGGTCCTACAGTGCTGGGGGACATGGAGTTGGTTCAAATGGCCAGAATGGAGACACGGTAGCTGAGGATGTACTGGTTCAGGTGCAGAGAGTACCAGGACCCAGGGGTGGGGGTGTCCGTTGCTCACTGCAGGCTACTCTGCCTAGGGAGCTTGGCCCCCAGGACGTCCTCGGGGCTGGGGGGCCCTGGTCCCTTCATGGCCATGCTGGCCCCCACCACGGCGGGGTAGCTGCGGTTCCGGCGCAGGTCCGCACTCAGGGAGAAGGGTGGGCCTGGCCGGGTCAAGGTCCTCAGCGGGGCCCGGGGGCCAGCCACGCTGAAGCGCTTCAGCTTGTCGACCAGGTTCAGGTTGTAGATGCTGACGTCAGTCTGGCTCTCGCGGTCGGCCTGCTTCCTGCCCTCCGCCGTCACCTCCCGCAAGATGAAGTGGGCGGGCCGTGACGCCAGGAAGTTCTCGTACGACATGCCAGAGGTCTGGAAATCAAACGGGGCGTCTGTGTCGACCGCTGGTGATTGGTTCGTGGGGGAAGTGGGGGGTGTGTGTGTGGGGGGGTCAGGGGCTGGAAGGGTGGCCGCGGCACTGGATAGGGCCCCGTTACCAGCCCGAGCCCAGCTCGGGGGGTGGTAGACAGCAGCGGAGATACCCCTCTCCTGCAGGAGGCGCACCAATCCCAGGGAGGTGCTGGTGGTCTTGGTGGAGTCACGCAGGTTGGTGAAGGACTCAGCCAAGCTGAGGCGCCGTGGGGTGCAAGGCGTGGCGGCGGGGGTGGCTTTAAAGGTGCTGGTCATGATGCAGGAGCCCGAGGCGGCGTTCAGGCTGTGGAAGACGAGGAGTTTAGGCTGGGCGGCGGGACTGAACACCACAGCCGAGACACTTAATCCTTCAGATCATCAGGGACTGAAGACCACTGGGACTGAACACCACAGCCAAGACACTTAACCCTTCAGATCATCAGGGACTGAAGACCACTGGGACTGAACACCACAGCCGAGACACTTAGCCTTTCAGATCTGTACTCCGGCTCGTACATTGGATACAATAAAGTACATTACAAGCCTCCTAGTGTCGCAAGGTGATGCTCGATAAAGGACACAAAGCAGCCACTCACAGCTAAGGCTGCCTGAGGGCATCACACCTTGGTATGCATCAGCCAAAATCAGCCAATGCATTAGCCGAACATGGTCCCAAAGTGACTTACAGAGAAGGGTAGTAGATCATACTCCAACAAATAAATGCAGGGTATCTGCAGAATGTTTTACTTATTTAGAAACAATAAATTATAAATTATTAGATATGTAGGTTTACATATCGACTACAGAGGAATTCATAGTCACCATGTCCTCTGATCTGAATACAAATTCAGCACCTTTTGAAAAAGTCAGCAGTGAGGAATCGCAGGAGCTGTGTGGACAGCAGGGGGTGCTATTATCCTCAGCGTGTCTTTTTTCTTTTTTGGCAGAACAAATCACCCACCCGCCTTTCACCGCTTGTCATGCGAAGAGCGTAGCTTTGAATAAAAGGACAACTGGTAGATTGGGGGGGGGGGGGGCTTACCTGGGAGTGACTTGGGTCAGCTCGTCCGAGGGGTGCAGGATGCGACAGGTGGTGAAGGTGTAGGTAGAGTTGGTGTGAGACATGCATTTACCGGGGTAATATGTCACTAAAGGTAAAAACACATGGGGAGTTAGTGCCCTGTACACATTGCAGCACAGCAGAGAGGCAATTTATCAGTGAAATATTCAGACACGTTTCAATATCTCTGTGCATGAAAGGAACATTCCTGCTAGTAGAGGAAAGTCTAGCTATTGTTGATTTTTTTTGCATAGCATATAAACAGTCCACCGCTGAATGGCTTCCCCCATATCTGCGGTTTCAGTTACTGTGGTTTCAGTTACAGCGGATTAAGTTACCACAGTTTCAGCTATCATGGTTTCAGTTACCACAGTTTCAGTTATCACGGTTTCAGTTACTGTGGTTTCCGTTATCACTGTTTCAGTTATCTGTGGTTTACAGTGATCCAAAAAAAATGTAAAATGTGTAACAGTATGTTTTTTTCATTGTTTCTTCACCCTTTGATTGGTATAAAAAGCATTATTTTCATTGCTCTATCATCCCTTGACACCTGAGCATGTGAGCGGAGTAGAGCGGAGCGGGCAGAATTTGGTCAGAGCGCGGAGCGGTTTTTTAATTAAGGCTGGAGCGGTCCCCTCTGTCTCGCTCCAGTTTCGCTCCGATACCGCTCACACTACGACTCTGAATTACCTTCCTCAGAAACATGAGATTGTGCTATGCGAACAGGCGCAAGCCAGAGCAAAACGTGAGCAAATTTTACTGTATATGGTTGTAGCATATCAAATCTATGAATTAAATAAAAGTATAAAAGTCTATAAATATTGGTAATCAAATAAATTAGTTTTGTCATTCAAAGTAGGTCTAATAGGATTTTTTAATTTCACGTAACGCTGTCAGTGAAATTTTATTTTATAGAGAGATGCAGCAAGCGGCATCAACAGAAAAAAAATGCGGAATTTAAAACGTGGATGCTTAGCCTGTATACAGTATTATTTAGGCTATTAAGCCCACTGATTCCTTTATTTTTAAGCCTATTTTGTGTGGAATGCCATTGCCAAACCTCTCCATTGTTGCCTATATGTTGTTTAAAAATAAATATTTTCTGTTCTGAGTGGCAATGTTGCCGTTGCTCATATTTCTTTATTATATAAGGCTTCGGTGTAAGGTGACATTTGTTAGGCATGCAGATTACTGTATTTGTCCCTCTTAAATTGGAGCGAGCGTGGAGCGATTTGACTGGAGCGGGAGGAAATTTTAGTGGGGCGAGGAACGGTGTTGAGCGGAGCAGCGTAGGGCGAATTAGAGCGGAGGAGCGGGCGGAGCCAACAGCCTGCTCCACTCCGCTCACATGCTCTGCTTGATACATATTTCTTCATTGCTCTATCATCTCTTGAGAATTAGGCTGAAATGTCAGAATCCTTTCCAATCATTTGAGAGTATAGTACTGTATTATAATGTACTTTATTATTACTGTATTTAACGTATTTAATGTCTTACTGTGTGTAATTTATCAATTACCATATATAATATGAAAATCCCATTATATAGTGGTACCTCAGTTCTCGAACTCATTAGAACTCGAATTTCTTAAAAGTCGAACCAACCAGTTCGGAAAAAAAATACCTAGTACTCGATCTGAATCTCAGAAGTCAAACCTTGAACGCCAACCTAAGATAACTTGTACGCGCGGGAAAATGAGTCACGCGGCACGTCTCTCAGCGGAAACAAAGGGTAACGCTTCAGTCTCAGCCTAGCATTCGCTGTGATAGCATCGTGCATGTTTTCACAAGCTGAATACATATATTTAGACAGTAAAAATACATTTAAAGAATGATCGACAGTAACAGTAATTATTACTATATAATAAAATACATTTAAAAATTAAGATTTCTTATTATTTTAATATTAATAATAAACCATTAATACATTTAATTATAATAATAATGTCAAGCTGGGATGGAACGGAGTTAAAGGCTCAGACGTCAGGTTAACGGGGAATACGGGGTTTAATTACAGGTAAGGCAGGCAAAACGCAGACGGACAATACAATGACCGGACTGGGGAAACAAACTGAAACGCGGACTAAATACAGAGAACTTATGACAACAACCAGAAACAGCTGATCACACGAGGATTCCACACAGGGTTAACGAGGGGGCGTGGCACATGAAAGGAGCGGATGATTGGGGCAGGACAAATTGTTCTTTTTTTAACTTTACACATTGTTTGGATACATTTATTTTCTTACTTTACAAATTACTGTTTTGATAAATGTCCTTAGATGTGTTTAGTACAGTATATGCTCTTCTTGTTTAATCCGGTTAATTTTGTGTTTAAATTCTAAAAAAAAACATATTTAGGTGTCATTTTTTGGGGCCGGGAACCAATTAATTGGTTTTCCATTTTATCTTATGGGGAAAATTCGATCAGAACCCGAACTTTTTAGGATTCGATCCGGAGTTCTGAACGGATTAAGTTCGCGTTCTGAGGTACCACTGTATATGGAGTCTGCAGATGGTTTTCTATTATCTGTGCTTTTGGCTATCCACTGTTTTGGCTATCTGTGCTTTCGGCTATCCGCGGTAGGTCTTGGAACGCATCACCCGTGGATACTGCAGGACTACTGCACTTTCCTGCGATATCTGGGAATTTAACTGGTTAGATTAAGTTTTCATGTTATGTAATAATGAGGGCATGAAACTTCATCAAACTTTGCTTTTGTCAAAGAGTCCTCCATTTGCAGCAATTACAGCCATGTAGACCTTGGTTGTTCTAGAAGTCAGATTGCTGAGGTAATCTGACGAGATTTCACCACGTGCTTCCTGAAGCATCTCCCACAGGTTGGATTGGCTTGATGGGCACTTCTTATGTACCATTCAGTCAAGCTGCTCCCAAAACAGCTCAATAGAGCTGAGATCCAGTGGCTGGCCACTGCATTACACTGCATTATACACAGAATACCAGCTGACTCATTTTTCCTTGAAAAGTTCATGCATAGTTTGGAGTTTCGGTCATTGTCCTGTTGCAGGACTAAAGCACAGCCTTTCTTCTTCCTCTGTCCAGTTTCTGTGTTCATTTGTTCATCTCCGTCTTTTCTTTTTATTGGCCATTTTTCTGCCTAGAGGGCCAGTTGCCTCTTCACTGTTGACACTGAGATTGGTCTTTTGCGGGTCCTATTTAATGAAGCTGCCAGTTGAAGACCTATGAGGTGCCTGTTTCTCAATCTACACACTCTATTGTATTTATCATCTCGCTCAGTTGTGCACTGGGGCCTAACTCTGCTCTTTCTGCTGTGGTTAGAGCCAGTCTGCGCTGCTCTGTACACCCAGGGGTGCCGTAAGGGGTGGGGGGGGGGGGGGGGGGGGGGGGGGGGGGGGGGGGGGGGATTAGGATGATTCCAAGAGCCCCTGAGTTACAGGGGCCCTAAAAAATTGTAGCCCAAAATATGTGATCGCCCCTGTGATCTTTCTGATCTATCTGATGTTATTTTAATGGACAAAAAAATTGTTTTTTTTTCCGAGAGCAAGGAAATTTGTAAGTGACCCCAAACTTTTGAACAGCGGCGTAAATTCTTAAAGAGTTTTCATGGCAGCCCTCTAAGCTCACCTGGGGCCTCCAGCACGGTCTGATGGCTGCCAGGGGTGGTGCAGGATGATGCGTGACTTCCACCCGGGATGGGGGTGGGCCCCGGAAGGTTCTGGAAGAACACCTCGCCTGGCTCGTCCTCCTCGAAGTCAGCGAACTGGTAGACCTGCTCCAGTTCCAGGTCCAGTGGACGGAAGCCCTTGGAGATGACGCCGGGCCGGGAGTCCAGGATGCCCCCCAAGTTGGGCTGTGCCAGCTGCTGCCAGTGGTGAAGGGTGGCAGAGCCTGTCCCAAAGCGGGGGGACGGGGGCGTGGTGAGGACAACAAATGATGGAGTTACACCTCAGGCCTCCTGAAGCTCATCCACATCCAGAGAGCATTGATTTACAACCTAGAAGGGCATATTCTTACAACTTTATATGCCACAAATGACTAATAATCATTTGAATGTCTGGAAATGGCTGGCACTGCACACACTCACGTCACCAAAAGTCATACTCAGGGTAAAAGTGTTTGTCAGAATATTTCTGTAATGTTATGAGACGGTTTGTGTTTCTGATTTGGATGTTATTGACAAAAACCAACCAGTTGAGTACTCTGTGTGAATGTGACTCTTTAAACTCAGCTGGTTGAAACAAAATCTTGGTCTGGATCTGTACTTTCTGAACATGAACTATCCACCTCTGCAGTCAGGACACAGAAACCATCCCAAAAGTGGAAAGTGAAACTGTCAGCAGCATCACCATCATCTCCAGCACCAGTGGAACATGATTTTAGTCTCTTTCTCTGTTAACACTTCTAATGACTGTACGATGAAACTTGTATGTCACTTGGGACAGAAATGTCCGCTAAAAACAAACACAAAAGTAATGTGAATGCAAAAATTTGATTAAAATAATGGGCACCTCAGACAGATCAGGTGAATGGAATGATAGATGGATGGACAGAAACGTTTGTAATGACCTTCCTGGTGCCGGGGTCCGCAGGCCACAGACCCAGCAAGGGTCATTTAAATTTGCCTCTGAGTTTGGACCGCTGTGAAGAGAGGGTACCAGACTTCCAGTGGTACATGAGGGACCTGGCGGAGGCGGGGTTTAAAAGTAGGCAGGACAGGGGGCGGGGCCCAAGGGCAGTCACCTTCTAGGGGCTTGACGATCTGCAGCTTGTCGGGCAGGTAGGAGCGGCTGCAGTAGGTGTAGCCGGACAGCCCCGAGAGCGAGGTGCCCAGGGACATAATGCTGTCACAGGGCGTCAGGTGCCCCCCCCGCGAGCTGCCCTCCGACGACCCACGCAGACTCCGCTCCCGCTCCTCCTTGGAGAAGCGCCGCTCGCTCAGGTAGTTCTCCCGCCGCAGGGACAGCCTCCGCAGTGCCAGCTCCAGGTCCTGGGAGTCGGTGGCCATGCGGGTCCCCGGGTGCTTGTTGGAGTCGTCCGCGCTGGTGCCCGAAAAAAAACAAAAAAGATACAGAACACAAAAAAACACACTAAACATTTTCATGCCCACAGAATTGGCAGTCCCTGCAAAAAACACTGTAAAAGCACAGTACTTAGAAAACACTGGTAAAAAACAACATGGCGGTTTGTGCAAGGTCTTTCCACACAACTGTGGTCTATCGGCCGGAGTCGATGACAAACCCACCTGTCGTCTGGCATCCCCACAGCAATGGTGCTGCCAACACTGCCCCCGTGTGGTCTGGGCCGAGATGGGGATGACTTCAGCGGGGAGGACGAGCGGTTTGACCCGGGGATGTTAGCGACTGGGGTCCGAGGGGCCTGGTTGATGTGCTTCACGGTCTCAAACACACGCTTGTGCTGATCACTGCTCACACACATGCATAAACACACTGTGGCGATTTTACTCCTTTCAAATGAGTAAGTGCGAGGTGTACGGTTCTCAGAAATATACCATGTTTTTCCCTCCACACTGTAAATCTCCTTCTGGGGTACAATATATAATATTTTCATTGGGTAGCTCTCTAACCTGCCTGCGTGTGTGGTGTGTGTGTGTGTGTGTGTGTGTGTGTGCGCGTGTGTGGAGTTTGAATGCTCTCTCCGTTTTGTGTGGGGGCCCTCTGGCCTCTCCAGTTTCCAATTTCTTCCCCCAGTCTCCAAAGTCATGCAGTTAGACTAAGGCAAGTTAAGGTAATAAGCCTTAATATTTTGACAATTAGACGACATGCTTGAAAGTCACGCTACAGACTTACTTCAGCTCTGGTGTCTCTGCGTCGTCTTGCTCCATCTCCTTGCGCATGGAACCCTCAATCTCTGCAGCCAAGGAGTCCTGGAGGCCAGACACACACACACACACACACAGATCACTGTCAGCCCAACCACCAGAGATAATTTCATTACTTCATGGAGAATGGAATGCGTTGGCCGGTTTGTTGTGTCTGGGGCTCAACTTAGTCAGTCCAGGCCCATCCCTGCCCCCTCCCCCAGATGTTTCAAAAACTCAATAAATAGTTAGCAAGTAGAGTTTGAAGATCGTAGCTAACTAGCTGGTTGACAGGATGTGCTGCTAACACATCAGGAATGTGTTTAATAAATAATTTAGTGTACTGACTGTTTATGGCCAACAGGGGGCCGAGATCTAGGGAACCCATGGGCTGCCTTCACTGTCGCAGCTAGCCAGCTTCACAAGCGGTGTCTGACAGGCAGTAAGGCTGGCCTTGTGCAACGGCCCCAGGATCAGACAGGACGCCCACCATGGGGAAGAAGCCGAGGGGGTGGATGCGACGGGGGGTGCTGTAGGGCAGCGCCTTGTTCCTCAGGTTCTTAAGTTCCTCCTGAGCCTCGTGCAGCATCTCAATGCACTCGGCGTACTTGTCCTCCAGTTCCTGCAGCTGTTGGAAAACAGGAAGGAGAGAAGGAATATAACCATTTGTCAATTCTGAAGGACATCCTTAGATCTAAAGAAGCTTTGCAGTCAGAATCCTAAAGCTAGACGCTCATGGAGTTTGATATTGGTGCTGGAGGTACTGCACTGACCCACAAGCTTACCTCCTGCAGATAACGGGGCTCTACCCTGATCCGGAGGCCTACCATCTCACGACATGGAGGCCTACCTTGCCCTGGTGGTACAGGCAGGAGTTCTCCACCCGATGCGGAGGCCTACCTCACCCGTTAGCTGGTGCTGTGCATCTTTGGCGGCCCTCAGGTGCTGAGTGAGCTCCTCATTTTCGATGGCATACTGCCAACAGAAAGATGAATGAACAGCAACTGTGGTCAGGTTGGAGAAGGTGATCATTAAATCAGGAGAACTTTAAAATTGAAGCAGCAGCTCCCCCTAGAGGAGGAACGGGGAGCGGCACACTGGTCAAGTGACTAGGAATTGCAAAATGCCAGGATTACTACAGGTTACGCACAGATTTAGCTTTCTTCTGCAGGTCCACGATCTGGGATAGCAGGTGTGTGATCTCTTCCTGCTGACGAGAGGCGTCCTCCGTTTTCCTGGCCAGCTCCTCCGCGATGGACGAGATCTGAAGGCTGGACTCTCCTTCATGTCAGTCACCGGAGTGACAAGAACAGGACGACGATGAGTTATTGCCATATTTCTGTACATTATCACGTATAATCAAAGACCAAGAAAGGCGAGGCAGTGGTCAGTGTCTGTGCTCCTTGTCTGTAGAACGAGCTTCCTGAAGACCTGAGGTCTGCTAAAACTGTCTGCTCATTTAAAAACAGTATTGTTTACCGCAGCTTTTCAATAAATTAAATCAGTTTAGCCAAACACTGTACAGTAACTACAGTGTAACTTCTTTTCAGTGAAACATTTGTTTATTTGGCTTTAATGGTTTTCAAAATGAATTTCATTCATCTGTTGCTTTGTCTATTTATTTATGTTTTGTCTGTTAAACGTGATTTTAATGTCTTTTATTTAAATACATTCTTCTACATTGCGTCTGAATTGTGCTGTATAAAAAAACTCGCCTTGCCTTAAGTGTCCCAATGTGTTTACCTAATGTCAGTCATAACTGTGCTCAAAAGCTCAGGGTGGTAAATTATGAATGATATCACACATTGTTTATATGACATACATATCGAACACACCTTCGGAACAGACACAATCGACAATAAGCTTAAACCAGGGTTTCTGGGAAGCCAGTGACATCTTCATGGAGGACCCTGTTCACACCTGATATTAACGTGCGTCCTGGGTGATCCGATCACAAGTGGACAGCACTAATGACGGGTGTGAACGCACCCGAAACGCACTGAGGACGCAATTGAGATCGGATCGTTCAGTCCACATTCGGAGGTGGTCGGGACACAAACAGCCACATTCTTATAGAAGTGAATGCAAATGTGTCCTGGGTGGCACTGAAGGACCGCCTACCCAGCTGACGTCCTCCTGTGCGCGTAAGTAGCCTACGCATATGTACGTACGCATTAAATGCGTGAGTGGTACTTGACGTGATTTATGTCACAACGTATGTCAGTGCAGAATAGGTCACTGTGTTGTAAACTGCATTGTGAATAACAACATTTTTTATCTACAACAGCAGAAAAAAAGTTTGAAGCTGCTGGGAAGCGGGTTTGATATCGGACTGTCGTGACCCATTGGCATGGAAACGCTGTCAAAAGTGCGCATTATTAATGTCATGCAAGTTTGGGAAACAGTGTAAGAAGTGATTTATTAAATATGTCTTGTAATTTGCACAGATCATATTTAATATGCCCTTTGATTAAGCTTCCATATTTATGTCAGAGCTGCTCCAGACGCAGGCGGGGTCACATGATTAAAAGTGGCCAATCGAGACGCATGTTAATGCCGGGTGTGAATGGACGTATTTATCGCTGTCCAATCGTGATCGGATCACCAGGACACGTGCTAATATCAGGTGTGAACAGGGCCTTAGAGACAAACCAGCCCTGCCCACCGTTCTTGGGCAGGGAAATCAATATCTGAATGGCAGGCCAGAGCTCACAGCTAGGGGGCGTATTTCCCCCTGTCAGCTGTTGCCAAGCGAGCACGCCCGGTCACACCCACCCCGGCCCGCGGTGCGAGACTCACTGAGCTCTCTCACGCAGTCGTCCACCAGCTGGTGCTCCTTCTCTTCGTACGAATACGTCTCTGTCTTCAGATGGGAGGCCTAGCGGGGGGGTAGCAGACTGAATGGCACCCAGACGCTGCAACATGAGCACCCCCCCCCCCCCCCCAGCACATGCTCCCCTGCTTACCTCTGATCTCAGAATGATGTTCTCCAGCTCCAGATCTTTCAGCTTCTTCTGCATCGAGTCCACTGGGAAGTAGCTGGGCATG